CTTCCTTAGCCTGACGAAGGGTTTTTGAACCCGAAAGCTTGCTTAATAACTATTCTCCAACCATTTGGGTTGGTCTAATAAAAGATATCAAATTCACCCAAGGAACCTTGTCTGCCTATGTCCTTAGACCAACACGGCTACAACCTAAACCCCTGCATCTGTCCCACAAGACACTTCTCATTTTAGACAATGCACCAGGGCATCCTACCACGCTTGATGACCTCAGTGTGAATGTAAAAGTTGTTTTCCTGCCCTCAAATACCACCTACATCATACAGCCAATGGACCAGGGTGTCATTACTGTCTTTAAGGCTCATTACATAAGGAAAACATTCACCTAGGCAGTCAGGGCTACAGAAGGAGAGGGTGCTCCAACCCTAAAAGAATTTTGGAACTGCTATAATATCCACAAGGCAATAGATAACATTTCAAGTGCCTGGGATGAAGGTGCCTCCAAAACAATGAATGGTATCTGGCGAAAGCTTTGGGCAGACTGTGTCCAGGATTCACATGAGGTTGAGGAACCGGTGGTAACAATTCAGGACAACACTGTTGAGCTTGGAAGGAAAATTGTAATTGATGGGCTTGAACCTGAGGGCATTCAGGAATTGATCAATTCCAACAGGGAGGAATTGAGCAATGAGGACCTCATTCAAATAGAGCAGCAGAGAAGCCATGAAGAGGAGGAAGATGCTGAGGAAGATGTTCAACCAGCAAGGGCTTCAACCAGCAAAGGCATGGCTGAAGCTTTCAAACATCTTGAAGTTTTTCTTTCCTACTTTGATGAGAATGACCCTGACATGCAGCACAGTTCTGCAGTTGGAAGAGGAGTTAACAATGAAGTCAATTGTTACAGGCTGCTTTATGAAGAAAAGGCAGCCAAAGTGCAGCTATTAATGAATTCCTTCTTCAGGAAGTGCACAACTCTGGCTTCAACACCTGCAGCCCTCAAAAAAATTCTCAGCCAAGCACTTCAAAATCCCCTGAAACTGACACTAACCCTGACAACTCTGATTTAGCGTTGAAGGAAGCTGAAAGAGCAACAAGTGAAACTGAAAGTGCATCTGTGTATACAGTTCATTATTTTGTAATTCTATACATTATTTCAAAGTTCAAAATGTTAAATAAAGTATTTATATACATTTAGATGTTTGAATTAATTGATTTTATAGTACTAGTGGGGTATTTCAGCAATTTTATAGTATGAGTGGGGAGCTTCAGGAACGAATTATCTCTACTTACATTCATTCCAATGGGAGCATTGGTTTCACTTAACACTGTTTCGCTTAGCACTTGGTTTTTCCGGAACCAATTAAGAGCGCTAAGCAGGGGTTGCCTGTATTCTAAGACTCAAAAATATTAAAACCCTCAACAGCAAACATTGCAAATGATCCTTCCAGAGAACAGGGTTGACATTATTAGCTATTTATGGTAGGCCCAATTATGTGCTGAATACTTCCCAAAAACTTAAGTCCCTTATGCAAGGAGCACACAATCTAAGGAAATGCAAGTAAGCCACAGTCAGGTGAAAAGAAATAATCATAGGAGCTGCAGGTCTTTTCCTGTATTGCCTCCTGTAACAAAAGGGGTCTGAAAGATCCTATGAGCAACCCCAGGAACCCCAAATTGGCTGAACAAGCCCCCAGCAAAACAAAAAACTTACCTCTTGGGCAGGAAATGGCAGAGCCACGGCGACACATGGCGCTGCCGCTGCACTATAAGGTCCAGTTGTCAATCAAACTGGGCAGCGCTAGGCTCATGATGTCAGCCACCGGCACCGCTGCGGGAGATTTAAAAGACACCCAGAGTGCCAGGGAGACGGAGGAAGAGCCTGTCTCTGCGTTACCTATGGCAGAGACAGTGATAGACGAGGGACACCTAGCAGGGAAATGTCAAAATCCAGGGCTCAATCTATATGGAGCTGAGTAGGTTTCGGGATCCTGAGGCTAGGGAGCGAAGCCTCAATTAATGAGCTAATCTAGCGGCTTTAGGGAGCTGAGAGAGTTGCCTGCAGGCTAATAAGGGCCTTGGCCAGCAAGAGGCAATCCTTCAGAAAATAGGCTCCTCTTCATTTCTTTCTTTTTTGTTGTTGTTGGATTTTTTTGTTTTGTTTTTGTTGAAAGGACAGTTAGGACCAGGACACACTGGAGTCCTGAAGTCAGGGCTTAACCCAAAGGTTAACCCCTTGCCTGAAAGAGGCAAGCTAGCAATCCTGATAAGGCTAGGAAATGTTGTCAGGATTGCCTCAGGTCAAAATCTGGATCAGGTCAGATTCCTGGAGCATTTCCCACCGTCTCAGTATTGATGGCTGGCATGTGGCTGGGGGTGTAGAGGAGGTGGAGCCCCCCTTCATCAAGTGCTCTCGAATCTGTGAGTACCCCAAGTGGGACCCCTGTATTAACAACACTGAACCTCTCCTATTCAATTTGTTATCACAAAGTCATGGCAGGTGAGTTGAGGGGAGGCCTAACTAGGTGGGGACTCAAGAAAATCCGACTATCAGATAATCAGGAGCATTACACCTCCTATGAGATCTCCTCTAACAAGAAATTAAATAATTCAAACTTATTTTTAAAATGAAATCTCTTAAAGTAGTTCACACTAGTGGCCTACTTTATAAGAACATATTGTTTTATTGCTGTTCCAGCATAAAAGTATACACATCAGAAAAAAGAAAGTGGCTTGAATGAGGAGCCATGTGCTGCATTTACAGTATGCAAAAAGAAAGATGTGTCAGAAATATGTTCACATGTGTTGATTGTAGCCATGTCAGTCTAAGAAATGAGTTCATATTTTTAAATGATGAAAAGAGCTTCCCTTTGTCCTTTTTGTCAAATGAGTACCAAGGAGTCTATGATTTGATTTCTATTTTATGATTCACAATGAAACAGGAATGTGGTTCCTCTAAGCATGGTTAAACCAACTTCTATTGAAGCCAATGTAATTTTTATTAGAGGTGCACCGATAAATCGGTTGCATATCAGATCAGCACCAATACAAGGAAAATTAGGATCATCAGCTTCTGGGTTTTTTTGGCCGGTGTAGCTGACAATTCTAACTGATTAATATAATATGCCTTCTGGACAGGGCCCCCAGATGCCACATGCATGCATGCATGCAGCTGCATGCATGCATGTGGCCAGGAATGCAGTCGGGCAGTGTGGAGAACAATGCCCTGGTGGGTATGTCTGTGGAGGGGAAGGGGCATGGGGGAAGGAAGGGGTGTGGCGAGGAGTAGACTGAGGTCCCCACAGTGAGGAGGGAATGGGGCAAGGGCAGGGGGCGCTGCCCAGTAAGGGCAGTGAATGGGACCTGGGGCCACAGGCAGCTTGTCCAGTGGGTGTGGGGGAGGGGTGGGGAGAGAGAGCAGCTCCCTATTGCTCTGTGCAACCCCTAGGAGAGGCATGTGCACCCCCAGATTTGTGTGGGGGGCAGATGCGGGCTGCCTGCTGTAGGCTCAGGTCTCTCTCCCATGCTGCTTTTGCCCTGGGGACCCTGCATTGGCTGTGTGTCCCCTGCCCAAGTGGCAGCGGTAGGAGCGGTAAGTTGTGACTTCTGTTGCCAAGTAGGCAGAGGACGCATGGCCAGAGTGTGGCTCCCGGGGCAAAGGTAGCAGGACAGAGAGCCCTGAGTCTGCAGTGGGCAGCCTACTTCCGCCCTCGCCCCACTCAGCTCCACTCCTAAAAAGCATCCCTGCACTTAAAAATGGTGGCGGCAGTGCTTAAACTAAAGCTTTAGGGTTTAGGCTTAGGTAGATTTATAGGTTGTAGAGTTGGGAGGGACCACAATGGATCATTGTGTCCGACCCCCTACCCCTGGCAGGAAAGAGGACCGAGGTCAGTTACCCCAGCCAGGTGACTATCTAGCCTCCTCTTGAAGACCTCCAAAACTAGGCGATAGCACCACCTTTCTTGGAAGCCCATTCCAGATCCTGGCCATCCTTACTGTGAAAATTTTTTTCCTAATATCTAACCTAAATCCAGTCTCAACTAGTTTACACCCGTTATTCCTAGTCACTCCCTGGGTTGCCCTAGTAAACAGAGCGTTACCTATTCCCCGTTGACTTCCCCTAATAAATTTATAGGCGGCCACAAGATCTCCCCTCAGCCATCTCTTGTGAAGGCTGAAGAGATTCAGCTCTCTCAACCTCCCCGCAAAGGGTCTATCACGAAGGCCACTATTCATATGAGTGGCCCTCCTCTGGACCCTCTCCAGATTCCCTTCGTCCCTCTTGAAGTGTGGCACCCAAAACTGGACACAGTACTCCAACTGCGGCCTGACCAGTGCCACATACAGGGGGAATGTCACCTCTTTTGTTCTAGGTGGTGAATGGGACCCAGGGGCTGGGGTGGGGAGCAGGACAGAGCTGTGGGAGGCTCATCCAGGGGATCAGTGTCCTGGCACTTAAAAAAAGGTGGTGGGCATAGTGCCAGGACACTGATCCCCTGGATAAGCCGCCCGTGGCTCTGTCCTGCTCCCCACCCAGCCCCAGGGTCCCGTTCACCACCCTGACTGGGCAACACTCCCCAGCCCCTGTCCCTGTCTCCCTCCCTATGAAGGCCTCGATTTGCACCCCCATGCCCATTCCCCTCCCCCCCCACCACAGATTTACCTTCAGGGAGCTACTCTCCATGCTGCCTGGCTGTGCTCCTATAAATCAGTTATTGGATCAGTCTTGGCCGATATACCTGGTGAATAATTGGCTATTGGCGTCGGCCAAGAAAATCTTTAATCGGGGCACCCCTAATTTTTATTATTCATTTTAACAAGAGTTGAATTGGACCTCAGAAGAGATGCTCTGAGAAGCTCTATAACATCTAGAAAATATACAAAAGTACAGTTTCACAAGCTGCTGTATGCTGAGCTGATGTATACTATGAGATAAAAGGTGAATTACACCAGTAGCAAAATAACACATGTGCAATCATGTTTTGTTGATATTACTGTTATATGACTATATTCCCACTTAAATATTTTTGTTCTATTTTTTAACTACAAAAACAATTGTTTTGGAATGGAATGGTAGGGGGAAAGGGAAATTGCACCACAAAATAAAATAGTAAAATGTATAAATGCTATATTTTTGGTGAAGATTTGTGGTCTAGAAACTTTTCTATATCTTATTTCTAGGGAAAATATTAAACAATATTGCCACTACAGCTTTATCCAACTAAAAGTAGGAGCTCAAAGTGATTATACTATCACAACATTGAAAGCTCTCCTTGACTAACTGAGGAGAAGAGGAAGTAGCAGTTTAAAGCTCCACAAGCCCACTTGGCTTCTCTTCCTAAGCACCTGAGAAAGAAACCAGCTTCCAGTTTGGGGCTAAACAGTAAATTTAAACTTACATGCTGCTTGTTTCCCCCAGGACTGGTTGTGAGAGGAAATTTGTACTTCTCTTTGAAACCCTGCTGCTCTTTTGCCAGCAAGACATCAAATGGCACCATCACTTTGATATGCAGTATGTGTTACTCTCTAAGAGGGACTGAAAAGAAATGCAACATGAGGCAAATAAACTTTCAGAAACTAGGGTTTGGCTGACAACTGAACAAGAACAGAATTCAAGAACAAAGTACAAGAATATAATTCAAATGACAGGCTTTCCACAATAGTTCTAATATAGGATGATGGTTCTAAAGTGTCACCAATATTTCTCAATCAAATCAAAAGACTACACACACATCTTATGCCGCTTTTATCTCCTTGTGAGTGGTATCCCTTCCATCCAGTTTGTCCCATTTCCTGTAGCAGCTAAAAAGCACAGCTAAAGATAATACCTACTTTTTTTACACATTGACAAAAATAACTTAGTGAAATACGTATTTTGTTTAGTGTTCTATGAAGAAATAATTAATTGTTGTTTCTCCTGCCTTGCAAGCTATCTCTCATAACATAATCCTACAAATTCAATAGTTATCCCCTGAAATTTCCAGGAAATGCAAATCCCTTCCTTTCTCATATTGCTTATCTGCGGTTTGGGACAAGGCCCACAACGTTACCGGACCTATCGGGCTGACCGGGAAAAGATAAGCCTTCGATCTATTTAGCCGGACGCTAAAACTGTCGGATAGCCTGCACGGGAGGAAGGCAGGCGACACAGCTGCTGGAGCTGGAAATCAAGGGCACATACCCCAGAGACCACCACCGCCGCCGCCGAGCCGAGCCCACCGCCTCCCTACACCCGCGCTTCCCCGCCCGGCT